AGTTTCTTCTTTAAGCCTACTGGTTTTAGGAACTGATTATGCAGTTGTAATGCACACCTGGGACTGCTTGGCACCAAACGCTGTGTTTTGGCCCACATACCCTGACTGGGCTGTAAGAAGCAAAGGTGTCCTGAAAAAGAATTTTCATTAACACAGTGCTGTGAAATCTTCACTTCCAGGGTCAAGAAGTCAAGATATATGACATTATATCTTGAGAAAACAAATATATGCCATGAGTGTTCATGACTGACAGATGAAACTTAAACTCCACTACATAATCATTACTTCTTTCTTTCCAAGAAGAGAATATTGAAGAACATGGAGAAATTGGAGAACATGTTCTTTTTCCTTTCCCACCTTCATGCTGATGAAAAGTGTACAACATCATAAAAAAGTTGCTTCTTCAAAACTGTAGCAGTCCAGCAAGAAAGGATGAAGATGGTATTGTTATGCTGCCTAACTGCAGCAGTTTACTGTTAGAAAAAAATAAACCATGAAAGCTGATTAAAGAGACAATCATAAGAGGGAAACAGGATGTTCATTCTCTACCTATATTCAATGTCAGAAATGTTCTGAAACAACATCAATGTAGTTTTTTAACTATTTAAAATGCTTTGTTTGTAAACAAATTGAAGTGGTTTTTTGCACAGCACACTTCTCATTGCATAAAAGTTAAGACATTTCTTACCTTTCCCTGAGCTTTGTCTTAGTTACAGAGTTTCCCTACCTAAGCTTCCAACTATGCTGCAAAACAGAATTATTGCCCAGAAACCTGGGTTTGACCAAACAGTTTGGCAGAAGACTGATAACAGGAATCAAAAGACAAACACCAGGTTTCCATTCCCATCATCCTGTGCTCAATCAGACACTGAATCAATCCTCAAGTTTAATTTACCAAAAACTAAGAACTAATGCAAGTTGTATTGGCTGGAGATCATCACAGCACTGAATCTCACCATCCTCACCTGTTTCTCACCTGAAAGTTCTCTGTGTTATGGGCAGGCTAAGAAGAGATGACACAAAGCCCCAATACCAGTCTTATGTCACGTGACAGTGCTTCAGGATTTACAACCTTATCTGCCCTGTAAGGGCTCTGTAAGGGAGTTTTACCTCCATGCAGCAAATAAGCACCACCAAAATAAGAAGAAAACCTTATCTTTAGAATAATTTTAATGGAAATTATACTGCATACCATGGAAAGTACTGCTACAATGCAGTTTGTGAGGAGAAAGAGAACAAAAGAAAAAAGCCAACACAAAATTGGAAATCAAGATGTTAGCTTAGATTAACACCTCTTATTTCCTATTGGACCAGAGTGTGGTAGACAGCACACAAACTGAGCTGAGTTTGAAGACAGGATTAAGGGGGAAGGCAGTAGTTGGCATTGCAGTTTTGGGTATGTGCTTCACACAGATGTGAAACCACAGAAGACAATACTAAAGGCCCTTAAAACTATGTCACCGAAACCTCAAGTTAATAAAAAAATCCTGTCTTCAAGGGCTGTAACAGACGAGAACAACTTTAAAGCTGGCACATGTTCTGTTTTATGACAAGGACAACTCCATTGTTTAAAATCCCATTAAGCTAGAAACTCTATGCATCAACTCAGCTCCACCCAGAACACAGAGTTATTTAATACTACAGTTTCAGAAACTATGTTATAGCTTGTAACATTCAGCTGTGGACTGCAAAATTATATACAGTGACTAAGGTAGAAAATAAATAGCTAATTAAGAAAAATGGTCCTTTATTAACGAAATTTTACATTTTGCTTAGCCAAGTTTTCCTCCATGATTTTATTAAAAACCAACAAGACTAAACACTAGTTTGCTGAAGACAGCATAAAGATTTCTTTTCCTGAAGAATCTTCCAAGGGAAGTTTTACAACTTGGGAATTCTTTGAAAGTTCTGATGGTTTTTTTACTTTACCTGAATAACCACAGCAAAACACTGACTGAGAACTATGAAAATTATCCTTCATGGTAAATATGAATTTGTATGGGCTATTAAAGAAGAAAGTGACTTAACAGATCAAAAGATTAAATTTCATACATCTCTTTGTACCCCTCCCAACTATCAAGCTGCCAGCAGACAGTACATGGTGTATACCACTGAAATCTGTGCTTTAGGCTAATAGTCTCTTGGCATTCTGGATACTGGTTTGAACATATCCAGCTTCTGCCTGGAAAATTCATCCACACTGTCTCCTGTCACTAGCAGGAGAAAAAAAAATAGCTAAGCAATGAGATAGCTAGAGAATACAATGTCAGTCCTGATTACTGACACAGTTCTCAAAATTTCCCAATTTTCAAAACCATGCAAAAATATCAATATGCTTTTTTAATACAAAAAAATCTTTATTCATATATCAAACTAAATATTATCAACTGAACTCAATTTTAAACTGAGCTTAATTTTCTTCTGAAATGCTGGCATAAAAACACTGGAAAACCACAGAAATGCAAAATTTTACTTACTTGAGAAAATGCAAATTATAACCAAATAAAAGATAACACAGTACAATGAGCTGTGCACCTGAAATTCAATATTTATAAAGCTGGTGGATCTGTGAAAACAGAGGATTAGAATCCTCTAACATGAATATGCTTTGAGGATAAAAACAAAGTGGAGACTAATTTCTTCTCCCTCTTCACAAGGATCTAGCATGTTTGCCTTCTGCATTCCAGAGCTTAGCATAGCTTTGCAGCTGTACAAATAATTTTTTTCTGTTCTCTTAACAGGCATTCCAGATTTCTTATTTGTTCTGCATTATTATGCCAGGTAACAGCAGGGATAATGATGCTCCACCTTTGACCATGAAAGGAAGAAAGTGTAATTCACTTACCTGGGAAAATAGGAAGGACAGCCAAGAGTAATTAAATGCAACCAATCAGGTCTAATTAAAGGAGAAGAACCAAACTGGAATGTACTCTTTTATACTCTTTTACCATCAAGTTTAGATGAACAGCTACACAAAAAATAAATAAAGCCTACTCCTGTGAGGTTTATCAACCAGCATTTCGTCTAACACTCTTCAATATGATATGAATGAAGAAGAGGACTGCTCTAAGGCCTCAGAGTCATAAGTCTGTAATTCCATTTTAAGTATATGATAAAAGGACTAAGTAATCACCAAAAACCTATTGCAAACTTATGCTTTATTTTTACTTAATTATGTCAACACATCGGAGTCAAAACTAAAAGCTCCACTGTAAGAAGTAAAATGGTCTTTCCTGAGAAGATCACAATTCAAATAGATGAGATGGAAAAAGATTGAGATAAAGGAAGATAATCTCTACTTGATAATATGAAAAAGAAGCACACTTCAAGATCACAAGGAAATACATTAACTAAAAACTGAAACTAAATTTCTTGAACTACCCCTTCTTTGTGATGTTTTCACATTTCAGGTTTATTAGCCACATTAGGAGATAGCAGCTCCCAGAAAACTGTCATAAAAAAGGGATGCAAGTGAAAATACTCTAATTTCCTACAGAATCACACCAAGGCAGCAATTCACTGAAGACAGAGCTCAAAGCAAAGAACTCAAGGTCTATATTAACCAATGCCCTTCTCCCAGTATTTTATGTGTTACTGCTCCAGATCTACTTACTATCTGACATTCAAATGAACAGATAAGGTAACTGAAGCTCAAAAAAGAGTAATTTATCCTAGGATATATGTAGAGTTTTTTAACAAAAGCATAAGCAAGCATACAAATCCTCATTCTGTAAGAACCTCGACATCCAAAAAGCACTGTAATAAGGTTTGCATGTATCTTGTAGCTATAGAATTAAGCCCAGTAATGTAGTTTTTATATTCACTGCAGAGAGTTTTTCAGCGTGCATGACACACTGCATGTCACTTCAGCAGAAAATGCATTCTGTGTTGAAGTAATCTAGGTACAATTCAAAGATATGGAACAACCCAAAAAACAGCTCCTAAAGAGATATAAATTAATATCTTATAATTTTATGACACTCATTTTCATGAGACACTTGTTTATTTCACCCTTTATTCACTGAAATGACCTTAATTTGAAAATCAAGACAAAGTGTAAAATGTTCTTTTCTCCAGTGGTGAGGAAATTCTACCTAATAGATACAGAAGGTTAGTGAGCATCACATGAAACAACTAATTTTTCCTCTCAGATTATTGCTGATAATTGCACTGCTCCAAACAGCAAGGAGTACAGAACTCTATTTCATACAAAGTGATTAATAATTGTCATATCACTTGTTAACTAATGATAACTGAAAAATTGATTTTTTTCCACAACTTCTTAAAATTTAATAAAGAACAGCAACCTTTCTCCTAGTACTTGAATGTCTATATCAAGAACTTTTGCCAAGCTGTTTTTCTTTTGTTTAGCCATCTGACAGATACAGTTGGACATTTAAAGGCATAATCATTCGACCACATTGGAAAATCCACAGTAAAAAGTTTCTGTATCATCATAGACATGCTGGAAAACATGAAACAGAACAGTGTCAACACTCATGTTGCTTTCCTTGCAGTTCATTTCCAGAGTCTTTTCAAACAAACACATTGCTTTCTTGTAGGATTGTAATACCATGTACTAGGCAGAAGCTGGTAACATTTGGAATGACAGAGAACTTCTGCTTAATACAAATGCCAAAATGAATAAAGAAAAAAAATAATGGGCATGTTCCTGGAAAAAGCTGTAAGGCTTTTCAATTTTTTAATTTAAAAAAATTGCATACCAGAAAATGTTAATGAACTAAAGGTCTCCTGAGTTCACTTTTACACATTCTGTGCTATTTTGATGGCACTGCCAAAGAAAACTGTTCTCACTCAGAACTGAAGATTTTTTTTTCAATGTCATAGCAAAGTCTGAAATCTAAAATATCTTATTAGTCGTGCTACTTTATCACTTCCTTTAAACCACTGAGAGTTATCTAACTAGAAGCAGAGAAGACAAAATGATCACAAGTCACACAGTTAGAATTCAACAATACCTTTATAGAATTCAACAATACCTTTAACTTCTTCATAAATGCTATCATCTATTGGGTCACTGTTTGCTTGTCCAACATCATCATATTCCTCTTCCTCCTCTTCAGGAATAGCATTAGATCCTGTATCTATGCAATAGCAGTTTAAAAAGTTAACATCTAGTGGAAAAGAATGCCTAAGCAGAAATTTATGCAAAATGAAAACAATTTTTCTATGACCTGATCCTTCCAGTACATTCTGCTTATTTTTTTTTACACTGTTCAAGGGGTAAGAAAGAGTTTATATGAAGGAGCTTATATAAGGGAGAGCTTTCAAGCTAAATAGTATTCTGGGAGAAAAGCAAAAATCTTGAAGAAAGGGAAAAGTCATATAAAAGCTGTAATACAATTGAAAATTAGGACTTGCTACTCAGAGCTTGGACATGTGGGAATCCTACAGGTACTAACACAACAGATGAGTAAATGGACAGAACAACTGTCATCAAGCAGTATTGGCAATAAAGGCAACTGCTCTACTGGCTGGCTTACCTTGAATTACAAATTTGACTTGCTGTACCCATTCCTCTGCTTCTTTGGGAGTGGCAGCTGTAAACTATTAAATGCTTATTAATAACTACTAGCAGTAATGTCAAAAACACAACTACAATTTCATTAGCAATAAAAAAGAGGGAATGTAACATTCCCGTCACTTCCTCTAGAAACCATTAGCAATTCTTTTCATGTCTTCTGGTACTTTTCTTGCAAGGATGCTTCTTATAATGTACAGCTAATTTTGACAAATTTACGTAATTGAAGGAGAGGATGATGGATTTGAAACTCTGATCAGCAGCTGGCAGCTGTGCAGAAAAAAGCTGCTTCTCTTCATCAATGTCAAAGCCAGAACTGATGAACAAAATTTGCCCTTGACAATTAGAAGACACCCATGAATTTCTTTAGACTGCTGGGTACAGTTTTCTTAAAAATGTTCTTGTCAGACTCCAACACACTACCTGACAGCTTAATTAACTGGCTTTCAACCGCAATCTCAGATATTTAAAACTTATTAAACTTACATTCCATATTGATGTCTGGCTGATAGATCTCTGAATTGCACAGCTGATATGTGCCTTTTTGTAGGTTTTCCTTGAAAAGTCATGACCAATACAATATGTATTTAACACTGATACATATTTTAACTTTTTTTTACTATTTAATTCATCCAAGAAATCACACAGACACACTATACAATAGTATTAAAATGGTAATATTGAAATGACCAATAGATAAAGATGATAGATTTCCTTGCTCTTGACCAAAAAGATAATATTTGAACATGTACATACATATGTTTAATCAGATTTTTTTTCCTAATATATGAATATACAATATATGCAAGCAAGGGCTTCCTTTTTTCATTAAGATATCAGTGACAGTTGTTTCACTGAAATGCTAATTCAGTAACTGGAATTGTAACAGCTTTGTCAATTAAATTTCAAGTCAACATAAAAAAGTCCAACCTGATAAATGCGCTTATCTGGAGCAGAGATTTCAAAACAACAATCTTTCTTCGCATCCTTCCGAAGGCTATTATTCATTCTGATGGTGTAGCCCTCTAAGGCAAATTCACCTTTCTGTTGTTTGTCTGTTGGAGATAAAAAACAAAGTTAGAGCTTCATTTACAACAGTGAATGTAAGTGGCTCAGCAGGTTATCGTTTATTCAGATTTTGTTTTCTATTTCATGAATTTTACAAAGAACACGTAGGTTTTTAGCCAAATGATTAAGTGATGCTTCTGGAGAAAAAGCCTTATTTTAAGGGAAGATGTACCCAAAAGTACATTTTTTCTGTAGGATGTCTAAGGAATTCCACAGGGGGATGTTTGCAGATGGTGGTCTTATTTAGTAAGAAGTGCATGTTATGACACTGGTATCTAGGGAAAGCCAAGAACTGGAACTTGCAAGACACGTTTCCTATAAATCAGTGTCTCTTTCAGGTTCAGTAAACCAATGGGAAAACCTGTCTAGCTCGGAACTTGCTGAGCTCCCTCCTAAACTAACCACTTCACTCAAAAAATAAACTTCAAGCTTCTTTTTAAGCAATTGGAAAAGCTGCTTTTCACATTCTCCCACCCACTCCCAGATGTGCCTCCTTTCAACATGGCAAAAATACAGAATGAATTTTGCTATAAATTCAGGTGTGTGCATCTGTGTTCATTCCAAAAGCCATTCTCTCAAAACAGCAAATGTTTAATTAGCTAATAAAAGTACTGAGCCCTACCACAGTTTATTAGGTACAGCCATGTGGTTGTTTTAAAGACAATATTCTACTTTTCAAAGGTTCTGGTTTATAAAAGTATCACTTACAGCAGATCTGCCTTTAAATACACTGCATGTTGTGCAAGCGGCACCTGTGCACTCCTTTCAAGCCCTTCAAACCAAATTCTACAGCAGATTTTATGTGCTCTGGCATATTTTGGCAAATATTAAAAAAAAACCAAAAATGTAAAAGTAATTAAGTTTTTCAATTTCTGCAGATCACAGTGCAGCATTCAAGTGAAGACTGGCATCGTATTTCACATTTTGCACAGGCAAACAAAGAACAAAGTGCAGCTGCATATTTTAAAAATGTAATTTAGTGTCGGGCTCTTTTTTTACACAGAAGAGAAAAGCATTAATTAACAATAAGCACCAGGCACAGCAGCAAAACTACTTTAAGTATTCCTGAAGAGAACTTAGGTGCAAATTGAGCATCCATTGCTTATGCTTGTCAACAAAAGGAGAAAATTTCTACAGTAGATAAAATAGGAAAACTATTGTTTTCAACAAATTTTTGTCATATTTCTGGGAATTTAATAGAAAAGAAAATCTGTTTCCACTCCTGAGAAGGTAAAAATTGGCTAACAAAGCAATGTGAACATGCATGGACATGAGGGCATTCACCAGTCAAATACTCTTTCTAGTAATCTTATGTGCACATCAACACATATTCTCTGTCCTTCCACCTTTTTATGAACTCTCACCCAGGGCAAGCAAGCAAATACCCAATAACACAATCATATGAGAAAATCTGGGGCACCATTCTATTTTCACTTCTTGTCCCTTCCCCCACAGTAAGTTTTATTCTGTCTTAAATAAGTACTAATAATATAGTACTAGTATTTTCTATTTGCTCAATCCTCCACCTCTATTTCAAACAGCACACACATGCAAAATTCATGAAATCACACCAAGGTAGATATTAGAAATAATAACTTGCAATAGGTTAACTAGGTTCCTTTTAATGAAATTAATTTCTGCCTAGGACTGTTATTGTTCCCTCCCTTGTGACCTCAGGGAGAAGATGAAGTGAAACACATTAATTTCTCACTCTCCCATGCTGGAGGTTTATCAAAACCCTAGAAGATAGGAGCACGCAGGCAGAATAAACAAATACCAGGTTCGAAAGGTAAAAACATTTTGTCAAGATAAAAATGAGGCAAGTATTCAAATTTACTCTCTTGGATTATTTCTGAGACCGCTTCTCTGTGACATGGATGATCCCTTTTATGGTAATACACTTTTACAGAGCTAATCTTAAATGATCTTTGCACTGGTACTCGTTCTTTCAAAGAGCATTGCAGTTAAACCACAAAGATGCTGTACTTTGGAAGGGGATGCATGACATCCATATTCCATTTGATTGTTTTTCTGTTTATACGGTTTTTGTCTTATCTCTCTGAACACGCTATTTCAGTGCTAATGAAAATTACCTGTACACACCACCAAATATTTATATACATCTATCCTTTGCTATTATAGTATTTCAATGACCATTACAGCAATAGACTAGATTTAGCATTGCTGCTTTTACTTCCAGTTGTCTTACCAGTAACCTCTGAATAAAGTCCAGCGTGGTGCAAATGAGGAAATCCTAGGACAATGAGGTACTTCACAGCCCTGACTCAGAACCTGTTATAGTTGAAAGACTCTATGAATTCACACTCCCTGTGGCAGCAAGCCAGAGATAAGACCCAGTACGTCCTGAGAAATGGTTCCAGAAATACAGAATGGCAGAATACAGGTCAGCTATAGCTCAGTTGCCTGCTCTGATGGTGACAAACAGTGGAGGTCTAGAAATGCCATTTGCTCTTGCAGAATACACCTTTTCAGTTAGGACTGGAGACCAGCTGAAAAGGATCAGACCACCCCTTGATCACTACGGAGCAAACCATGACCCACAGTAGCTGCTTGGCCAGGCAGAGCAGTCAGGTGCAGGCTTGAAGTCAGAGCCATCCTGGCATCACCAGACTCAACAATCACCTCGACTTCACTGCTTGGCACAGGCTTGCAGCTAAACGGGTTTGCACTGACCTGGGCTTCTGGTTTCAAGATGCTTTGTGAAATTAGGGACATAGCGACTCCTGTGAACTTTCTCATCACCAGTTAAATTGTTTATATCAGAAATATTTTCTAGATACTGTGCTGTAGGGGGAATTAAACAGTTTCTGATATTAAAATGTTTTGAAGACTTAAAGATTTTACTTGGAGAATTAAAATTAGATACTGGTAGTTTTTATAGCAGGAGTCAACAGTAGCTTCAAGAAGCACATTTACATTACATATGTTTAATTTTCATTTTGAATCCCCAAATCAGAACCAGAGTTTTGCTTAGGCAGGAATACAACAACATATTTAGGAAGAACTAGGGAGATATATGCTGATGGAACACACTTCTCTGAAACACAATAACATTTTTGCTGCATGTTATTTTATCAAGAAAAAATTGTTGTTACATTCAACCACAGAAAACCCCTAAGTTGTGCCAGAAAAACATAAAACAGAAATGCAAAAAGTGTAGTATCAGTCTTGTAAAAATAAAAAGGACTGTGAACATCATCAAGCATAACTTGTTCCACAATGAAACCAAATCTCATTTCAGCATAAGCTGTCCTTTACTCTCATCTGCTCAACCTCCTCCTTTCCCTGTTTCCTATGTCAGGCGCAGAACAGAAAAATAAATCTGGGTCTGTGTAGATCATTTTGCAACAGGAATTTAAAACCACAAAAAAAGTATAGCAGAGGGGAGAGTCAGGCACTAAGTATTGGGAAAAAAAAACAACAAAGCTAGTACACAGAATTTTAAATGAACTAAATATGGGGGCTATATTTAACATAGAGAAAATTCAGATCTGAATAAAATTTGAAAGCCTTTAAGCATTTATCTCACATATAAACTTCATTCATCCTAGAAAGAGTTAAACATTATTAAGAGAAACAGGGCCAATATTATATTGGGTAAAGAGAGTCTCAAGGGAAGCAGAGAAAAAGCGTTTTGAAGTAACCTTGCGTAACTAAGTCCATGGGAACATTTAAAACAAAGAAGGGTAAACCTTCAATGAGATGTTGAAATTACTGGGTTGTAAATTTGAGGCCTAAGGCGATGCGCTCATATTATTAGCACATGTAAAAAGAATTAGTGCACTCTGAAGAACAGAGAGGATTGGGATAGTAGAAAGGAAAGAAGTTACAGAGAAAGACATAAGGAACAAAGGCAAACAGAAAGATTTCAGAGAGTGATAAAGTATTTATAGAGAATATTAGAATCTATAATTTAATTCTCTTCATCTTGAAATTAGGAGCCTTTAAGATTTTACAGTTTACATGGTTTCATGCTAAATGTAGTTTTGCATACTTTTCCATGTGCAGGATATCTGCTATCAAAAAATAGCTCAGTGTAAGTATCTCCAAAATGGTAATTCCTTTTCCAGCTTTTGGACAAATACATGCACAGAAGTTCTTCTGTTTAAGACAGCAGATCTGAAATGTAATCAACTTTTTTTTCTTCTTCTTTTTTCCTTTAATCTAGTCCTCTGAGAAGCTGAAATTGTAAAATAATTAAGAAATGGAAGAAGTGATTTAGGGGACTGAATTGTTTACATTCTGTTTGCTTATATCCAGTAGTTATTCTTTAAATAACACATTATTAACAACAAGTGTGAGTCTTGAGGTCTGAATTTAACAGCCTCACAGCAGAAGACCCAGTACACATCAGACAGATGCCTCTCATTGCCATCACCCTGCTACAATGAAGTCCTGTTGAGCATGCACAATTCCCTTCTCTGCCCAAATAGAAGTAGTTCACCACTGGCCTGGTCATCACTATCTTATTATTCAGAGAAATCCAAAACTATCATGTCCATGTTAAAACTAAAGAAATTGAAAAATAAAAAATAAACTCAGACTTTTCTAAAAGCCTCTGAATTATACCCCTCTTTAATATCATATTACTGGCGGGCAAGCAGATACCATTTTCAAGTTATAAAAATGAAAATAAATTTTTAGTGCCCATTAGCAGAGGAAAAATTACCATAATGTTATCAATTACTGTCTTGCTAAACATTTAGCTGATCTCTCCAGTTTGCTGAGACAGAAGGGCATATAACATTGTGGCCTAGTGAGAAAGAAGTAATGAAGCCATTAATTCAATCATTTATAAAGCAACAAATTAACTTTCCTTATTCACAGGCACTTTGAGGTCTGAAAGGTTATCCATACCATCTCGGTGTCTGAGGACACAGGAACAGCCAGAGATCATATAGAAAAATGATAGGGAACCAGGGTACTCAATTCAGGGTGCAACTGCATGGAAGAAAAGAAAAGAGAGGACTATAAAAGATTTATGGAAGGAAAGACGATGAAAAGGAGCACCAGGCAAGTTTCTCAAAATCCCACCCAGCTCTGACACTTGAACACAGCCCTCTGCAATGTTGTGGGCCGTGTGCTGGCAACTGATACTGCAGCACAGGCATAAATACACACGTGCATCCCACAACACCTATTTCTGACATGTGATTAGCTCAAACCTTTAAGCCTTGTTTCTCCATCTACTCCATTTATTGGTGATCAAGAGAAAAAATGCAGGTGATTCACTTAGACCTGTCTATATGGCTGGAAAAATTACATTATTTCACTACCCAATGCTACACCAAATGGAGGAGAAAACTGAAGAGAAAACAGGAAAACAAGAAATACACTGGCCTGAAGGCATCACAACTGTTGAAGAGATGCTTGGAGTTGTTTAGGTGAACACACACACAAACACACAGCCATTTACTGTATTTCACAGGCTTTATCCTGCACTATATACTTCTGGACTAGGCCTTACTTTTTCATCATTCAGCTTAGAGGAAATGATTCTGAAACTCTTCCTTACACATTTGTGAGCTTTATACACTTCCACACTTCTTGCTTTCCCAATGCAAAAAGGAGAGAAGTTTGGTTAGAAGAACTAAAACTGCTTTGGAAACAACAAATCTATACAAATAATAAAAAGGCATCCTATAGCCTCATATTAACCACTCAGTTACATTTCCACTGGTACCTAAGCATGAAAAAATCAAACTTCGGTCAACAAAAGACACACCACTGCAGACACAAAATAGCTTTCACAGTTTATTCACCGATGGTCTGGTTTTAAAACCAGACACAATTCAAAACAAGCCAAGACGGATGCAGAAATCCCTGCTGCCTCTCAGCATTACATCCCCAGCACAGAGGCACTAGCAGCCCATCATCCATCTAAAGTGATGCAGGTAGCAGGAGTGAGTACGTGTGAAATCGTCGTCACTTTGAAACCAGGTTCACAATTTGCACAAAGCCACCACACACACACTTCAGTGCTGTTCTACAGTAGGTATGAACACACTCTGAATTTCTACATGGTCCAAGTTATCTGGTACAGCATCAAGGGTCACAGTAAAAGAAGGAGGCCCCCAGCACAACAGCATGCTACAGCAGGTACCACTGCTGGCCACAACAGTGGGAATGAAAACAGTTGCAGTGAGTAAATGCCAGAGCTGCTCAGGACTGCCTCATCACACACCTCATCCATGCTGACACTGTGCAGCTGGACAGCGTGATGAACTGCAGCATGTACCCCCACAACCATTAAGGTGACAGCTCACTTTTAACAACATGCTAGCCTGGCATGGCTGATGTCCAGTTTCTGCTCAGTGACAGTGAGTTGCTTCTGCACTGCAACAGGCACTTTTATATAGGATCACAGGCCTGAAGACAGTACCTCTGACCAGTCTAGAAAAACCTTTTTTTATTCAAAGACAAGTTCAGGAGTGACTTGGTCATCCCATATTACAAGATCAAGTCACTACACCAAGATTAACTAATTTTTCTGCAGTACAAGCACCAATCCAATGGAGGTAGGGCAGAAATTCATACATCTGATTTGTTTGTTTCCTCCATGATTTACATGAACTACTACTTGGAGTCCAACTATGCCATGCTCTCTACAACTACATGAAAGGAGGTTGTAATGAGGTAGGGGTGAGTCTCTTCTTCTAAGCATCAAGTGATAATACAAGAAGAAATATCCTCAAATTGCACCAGGGAAGGTTTAGATTGGGTATTAAGCAATTTTTTTCCCTGAAAGAGTTGTCATGTATTGGAAGAGGCTGCACAGGGAAGTGGTGGAGCCACCATCCCTGGAGGTATTTATTACACATGCAAATGTGGCACTTAGGACAGGGTTTAGTGGTGGGCCTGGCAATGCTGCATTAATGGTTGGACTCTATGATCTTAGAGGTCTTTTCCAACCTAAATGATTCTGTGATTCAATACAGTTCCAATGGACCATGTGCCCCTCCCACACCCTTAGGTTATGGATAGGAGAACCTTCCCCAAACAATCTTCAGCTTACAAAAGCTCTAAATGCATTGGCCAATAAAAACCTCTCTATAGATTCATAAATGAAAGAGATCCCACAAAATATGACAGTCAATTCCTAACATGACACCAACCTCCTGAGTGCTAGGGAATGTATTTCTATGCATCTTAACTTTCAATACAGGTACTAAAAATTGCAACATATACTTGATAATCAGGTTGTTGCAAAAGAAGAAAAAAAAGGACAAAGACCAGGTGGGCAACATGCCTGCCTTAACACAAAGATGACATGCTAGAAAGCATAAGTAATCATTAGCACAGCCATATGGAAAAGAATGTTTAAAAAAAAAAATCAAGCCTTTTTTTTTCCTAAAAAAAAGCAGGCAAAAATACAAAGATTTTATAATCAACAACAATCTTTATGAACTAGCAATATCTTCTGAAAAAATAATAGCTATTTTTAAATAGCAATGTATACTAGGCAATGTATAACTATGTATATATAAGTAAAAAGCACGTGATCATTTTCCAGAGAAATAATCAACCAATACTGACAAATCCAAATCAGTATCATGCCACATGTCCTCAAAATTTTTGAACGAAGACTTTTCATGTTTGTGAAGCCTGATCAATCTGTAAATCCCAAGAAAAGAGTATAGAAGAAAAAGTAACATTTAGCAGATACGCTAGCAAAACTGAAAAGAGGATATGATGGGAAACTAGCAAAATGAAAACTGGACTGACAACTTGACTCTTTATTTCTTATGGTTTTAAAGAGAGGACGAGCTTAAATGAGTCAGTATACCAAGGAATGAAACAAACTGGAGCAAATCATATTGGTCTTTGAATAAAAAAAGCCAACATAATAACTACGTACAGTTATCTCAAAAATAAAAGGACAAACAAAAAGACAAAAAAATTAAATGCAAAGTTTGCCCTGGAATTTTTTTGGGGGAGGTGGGGGGGGTGTTGGAAGACATTATTTTACTTTAAAATTTACTCAGATATAATCATGCATCATTTTGTTTACCCTTGAACATCAAATGTACATGGCACAGAATTTAAATATGTTTTATTTTACTGTCAATTTCAAAAATTCAAAGTAATATTACAACATTTATGCCAGATTCTTTCCAAACTGGCCATTTAAATTTGAAAGTCACCTTCAGAAGTTTGCTTTAGTTTCCATTGCCGACTTCAGTTAAATACATTACTTTATTTCTAGCTTTTCCAGAGCATAAACTATTTAAAAAGAAATAAAGAACTCCACTGTGCGGCTTTTAGATTAATATTTTCCTGGATAGAACCATCTCTAAGGAACTTGGAAGGTATAATTACTAGAGGATGTTTTCAAATTAACATCCTATTTGGAGAGAAAGAACATTTTCTATCTAGTAAAAGAGTTGAATACCAGCACACTACCAAACTGAACAGCCAGCTGTTATTAGCAAACAAATTAGCTTTAAAAGAAACTTAAATTTCTTTCTCCTCAGTTTCCCTGCTTTAGAAAACACTGACAAGTTCTGATGAATATTTACACAGTTTAAAAATACACAGCACTGTCCAATTTTTTTTAAAAGAAAAGAACTTTCTTTGAAAAGTTTCATTCCATTTCTTAAAATTACCTTTTCTTTGCAGTTTCCAACTCCAACAAATCTTTCATATCCTTTTATACATTAAAATATAGTTGCTTTCATAATTGTTATAAGTACCTTTGTCACTTCCATAGTAATAGAAGACTGTCTTGCTGATAGCACACCAACGCTTCTGCCATTCAAAGCCAAGAAAACTGTGGTCTGAAATTAATACAACATGTGTTATGTTGGTTTATGCCATTATTGAACAAAAATGTGTTATTTCTTTTCAAGGGTGAGGTAAGAGGGAGGAGGAGCTAGGAAAAGACACTAAGGAAAGGAAACTAAGGAAATGCATGGCACTGAGAAGAAAATTAGAAATAAAAATTGGTGGTAAGAAAACAAATAAGAATTTTAAATCACATAAAGAGGGAAGTCATGTGTAACATTAAATATAAGGAAATAATGAACAACTTCCTAAATATTTCCTACAGTTATCGCAGCATTAAGTGGGTATTAAAGTGACAATATAAGATTTATTGAATTAAGGTAAATATTGACTCAACCAAAGCTGAGATCAATATTTGCCCTCTTGAAGGAAAATAAATCTTGATGCTCACTGAAACATGAAGTCAACATATGGTACTTGTACATACGTTCCAAATGTTTTCTTCAAAATATCTGAAAGTCTCTGAATTATGGCTGAGTGGACTTTCACAGCATGACTTTGTTAGTAAATAAATAGGATTTTCTTTCAATACTATAGAAGCAATTATGTGCTATGCTTCTTTTGCATAATAATGCTGCAACATTTCAGCTTCTTCTTATTTTATTTATCACTCCTGTATAAAGTTGTTCATGTGTGTAACATCAAATACAGACATATAGACAGACTTCCCAGACATTAAATATGCACTAGTTTTCACAAAGATAGCTAAACTTACCTTTTCTACGTTTTTCCAGGTATCCAGCCTTCAGAACAAACTGAAGATCCTGAGCTGCAACAGGAGGAAACTGATTGCCTGAAAGAAAAAGAAATTCTGTAAAGCACTGCTTTTCAAGAAAACTGCTATAGAAGCATTAATAAAATTATGGATTTTACACTCTCAATATGCAAGAGCTACTGAAAAAAATTCTACTAACTATTATGCGAGATTATTTTAAGTAAATGAAACATCTTCCTATCAATGTCAGAGCTGTTGCTGTTCTCCTCACCACTTGAGTAAGGAAAAATATAGCTGTGTAACAGGCCTTGCAAGTCTCAGAAGAAAAAGTATGTAATCAAATATAATACAGCAACTGTTTCAAACATAGCCTGTAAAGCAAGCTGGATAATGAAAGCACTAAGTTTTCAAATGTGCAAATAGGAGAAACCCAATCAAGAATCTCAATTGAACACAATTAAATCAGAAATGTCGTTTTTGATACCAGCTTCACACCAAAATACCTTGAAACAGCATACAAGGGGAAGACCCTCTATTACACATCTAAAAAAAAAGAAACCAGATGAAGAGACAATAAAAGGTGCTGCCTGTTGCTGACAGATTTTGCCTAATTTGCAATATATGACACAAAACTACTGCCTATAGGATCTGTAAGGTGATAATGGATAAACCAGACATTGTACAGACATCTACAAAATTGCTGACCTACAGACACTAATTTTAGACACCTTGTACCTATGTCTGCATTGGCAAAATGGTGAGTGTAGCTCACTGCATTTTTTCCTTTTTCTCAACTGCTAATTCATAGATGCGTAAGACTAACCAGCCAACCCTGCCTCATCTTAAAATACAACTTCAAATGTTAAAAATTGTGTCTTGCATCTCTCAACCTTTTCCTCCTAAAACAACAGAAAGATGATTTAAACAGAACTCCTAGTATTAAGAACAAGAATATGTTAGATGTGTATAATATTTAATATTAATATAAATATCATACTGCTTACCCCAAGCAAAAAAGCAGAACAAAAGGTACTCCTGTGCTGCTGGGTTCTTTAAGTAAGCAACACAGTGAAGTTCCTACTACTTATTATCATCAAATATTCATAAGAGTCGCAGTAGGTAGGTGGCAAGTTTACAAGGCAGCCATTATTCATCAGAATATATGTAATCTCATTATGTTCTATCAACATACACATACAGAAAAGGACTGATATTAGCAGACAAATTCTGTGCTAAAAACTCCATTTTAAATTATATAGTTTGAGTGAAAGATCAATGGTCTGACCTTGAACCAAGCACTGCCTCTGAAAGATGATGTCAATTTCCTGGGTTTTTAGGTTGTTCCTTAAAATTTATTTTTTTCTTAAATTCAGTATTCACAAATGAGCTGTTTTATGGTAGTTTGATTTAAATACAGTTATGACAGGAAAAAGACAAGAAAGAGATAGGAACATGCAGAGAATGCTGATTTTTAAAGCATGAAAATACTCAAAATGAGAAGACATTCTTTAAATAATACAACCAGCTCTTTAGACTGCAAAATATTTTGTTTTACACCAGAAGACAGTAGATAAAATTTTACTTACATTGATATTTCCACTTCATTTTTTAAATTAATATTACTTTTTAAAGATTAGGAGTATACTAATTTCTGTTTTAGCTTCTATAGAATTCTAACTATTGTGTTAAAAATACAAAAGCACAATCAAATGCATTTTCAAGTGATACAGCTGTCCTCCCTTTGCTTGGCAACATGCAGTCATAGCCCAACATTAAATGGGAATTAAACACAAAGACACTTGATGGCTGGTATGTGATATGTTTAACAGTCACTTAAAAAGGTGATGTAATTATGGTATTATGAATGGGGGAGGTGAAGAGTTTTTACAAATATTTTGTACAAATATTTTTACAATTATGGATTGTGTGCTGCTTTATATTGGTCATTGGGAGGCATCAGTGTGCAACACAACTCCACCTCATCCAGTAGGGCTCATCTTAGAACAATGCAATCCCATGGATGAGGAAGACATAAAAGGTAAGTAAATATAGAAACAAAAGCAGCACACTCTTAAATTTCACAATTTAAGATTTTCAACTGCCATTTAGATCTAAGTTTACCCAATATTGTTTGTATCAGTTTGGGCTTTGATGAGGAAGCTTGGCCAGTGATCATTTAGTGAACAGTGAAACCAAATGGGACAACACAGTGCCAGAGAATCGCATACTCTGGGGACTCCCTAGTGTTGTTATTCTGTCATCTGAACTGACTGCTTCATAGAATCCAAATTCCACTCAATTCTGCTACTTCTGCTGAGACAAGTCAAGATAAATTTGGTGATGGCATTTTCTGTAACTACATTTATTTTGAACAGGGCACTGAAAGCTTTTCCTTGAAAATTAAAAGAACATGCATGGAAAAACAGTATTTCACTGTCTGCTGCCACTGCAGAAAGAATCCTCCTCCCACCCTTAACCTGTAGAGAAGCCATTTCCTTTTATATTCCTCAAAGTAACTGAGGCAGTAACTCCAAAAAACAAACTGCAGCTGGTCAGCCCCACTGCCACTCACAATCTGTAAGTAGCTGAAGCAGAAACAGATCATATGCATGTCATTATCCTTCTGTCAGAGAAGCCTGGGAACCAAAAAATATGATGGAACTTTAGACAAAGGGCAGTAGAAACAGACCCAAGTGTAATATCCCACGACACATACAGCTGTACAAGAAAGAAAAAGCATAAATCGGGTTAAATTCCTTCTTTCATTGCCCTGTACCTTCAGAAGGAAGGGGAAGGAGAATAAGTAGTACAAAAAGCATAAAGGAAAGAGAAAGAACCACCTCCTCCCAGATTCTCATGAGCCACAGGTGTTGTGCATATGTGGCAGGAAGAAGGCACAAACATGGATTACCATTGTCCCAGTACTACAACAAAAACAACATGAGGAAGAAAGAGGAGAGAGTCAGTCACATTTTCCTTACAGTTACTGCTGAGATTCTGCATGGGAAACTTCTAAGTTGTATTATCTATCTTTCTTCCTTTTTTTTTTTTTATTTCTTTACCATCTTGTCCATCTCTCAAACAGGATTTAGAGAGAACTGCAACTGCTAGATGTGGGAAATCCCAGCAGAAAGTGTGGAATTTACACAGCAAGTTGGTTTTTGCAGTTGCTTGCAATCAGAATATTGCTTCCACATTAATTTGAAATACATCAGGCTTGGCACAAATCTCATAAAAAAGTATAGTAAATATACTATAATGCATGCTAAAGCAGCATTATAGTATATTTACTATACTTGGTTACAGCAAAGCAGCAGTTGCTTACATTATGCCAGCAGCTGAGATCAGAGGTTCGTTAGCTGACTGCAGCATGAGACTTTGAATAAGACAGCTCAGTCTATAAAGAATCTTGGCAGAGGAATCCTGCCAAGAAAGAAGGCGTTACTATGTATTTTAAGTAAAGAACCATAAAGCAAATTAAGCCACATGCTTCTAATCACATACTCCTTTAGAGCTCAGAATTTCCCATGTTATACTACCATGCACACCCCAGGATGTCCTCACAACAAGGAGAATCTTCTCCTTCCCTCATTCAGGTGGAATGGCCTGAATTCCAGTTATCTCACTGGAGTAACTTCACTGGAGACTGTCCACTGTAAAAAATTAAATGTGGAGATGCAAGAAGCTTCCATCCTCGGAATGAAGACAGTACCTACTGGTACTGCCTTCCTTGGGTGTCTCAATACCTGCTCATGAGAAACTTATGGTCAAGCCCACTACAAGATTAGAGCAAAACTTCTCTCTCAAAATGAGACCACCAGAGATCACTAAGCCTTCCTAGCATTGTATGGTCTGTTTCCAGATATCATTAAATGATTTAGAAATAAAGATGTTTAAAGGATCACAGTCTCCCCTGGCTTTTCCTTTGGTACACTGTGGTTTTTTAAGCCAATTTTAAACACCCAAGAGAAAAGTGGCATTGTGAGTAGGAAATGCTCTCTGGCTTGCAGCTGTGTGGGTTTATACGTAGAGAAAGGCACGATGATTGCTTCTGTTTACTCTTCCAGACCTAATTTCTGCTGTATCATTGTCCTGACAGTGGTGGGCAAGCACAGAGTTGAGGATATACAAAGGTCTCATTTCCATTCCAGAGTTTCTACCTTACAAATAATGTCTTAAACCTTATTCTTTTGATGTGAAGACTAGTTCAAAACGACCCAATATTTAGGGAGATAATAATCTTGCATATCCAATACATGGTATAAAATAAGGGAGGTCCATCTGCTTAAACTTACAGGTTTTCCTTCATTCTTGACCACCCACTCACAAAAGAATCTCCCACAATAATTTCTCTTCCTAGCTCTTCACTACTAGTGAGTAATTCCCACTACTGGTGGGAATTACTCCAATGTACTCCAAAATAAAATCTGCAAGTTATGCTCCATATGCATATTTTCAGACTGGTGTGTATAAAAGCCATCAAAGACCAGATCAAAATATTTATGAGGCCTAAACCTTCATCTTAGAGAAAAGTAAATTATATGTATAATGCACTGGGCTCTTCCTCTTGGTTCTAGGCACTCTTGTGCCAAGTGAGCAGCTGGCAGTTATTATAATACTATTGCTGCCAGGCTGAAAATTCCTCCAGTGAAAAGAAAGTGAAATGCTCTCACTCAAGCATAAAGCCAGCTTTACCAGTCATGCTTTGACTTCAGAAAAACATTAATGCTATTAACATAGGTGTGTTAATGTATAGGTTCCACTGCACAACTCCCACAAACACAGAATATCTTGTGATTTAGAAAGATCACAAAACCACAGCTTATGGCATGACTATAATTTTTGCAACTTGGTAATCAAACAGGCAAAAGCCTGAATGATTTAATTTTTCACCTTACTGCAACAGTGAATTTGGTCCATTACATAAAAACAAGTTTCATCAGTGTCACTTCACAGCATGAAATTCAATCCTTGTGCTTGGAATTTTGATTTTTTGGAGGACCTAAAGATGTAAAAAATTCATCCTGTGTACAATATAAATAAAACAAAACCAGACTGTATTATTCTGCACTGTTTAC